TTTCCTAAAATCTATGGTCGATACAATGACCTTGTCAGCAAATACAATTTTTCATAAAGTAAAATACTGATTACCGTTTTTCAAACTTATTGTTAGGCCATTATTTAAACACTGAATTGTCGACGGATTTTTCAGATATTTTTCAATCATGACAAGGAGCACACGGCGGGTGTTACCGGTCAGCAGGGGATGCTCACTCCTCCATGTCACCTGATCCCACCTCTGATATTTTGGGGCTCCGTGTTTGCTCTGCTCCTAATTTGTATTGTTTAATGGACTTTTGAGTTTGAATGCTGTACGTTATCTCCATATATCTCATTTCACAGAATCTGTGTTACATAGTCTCATTGTCTATCTCCTTTTTTATTTTTTGATCGGACATATATTTCGGGTTTCCCATAGCAAAACATTGGTACTGCTATTCTTTCTATAATATTGAAAGGTACCCATCGCTTATCCGCAACTCCTCTTACACCACTGAATGAAATTTAATAAAACTTAAACAGAATCTTTGTTACATACGGCCACTGTGCATCTTCCTTTTTACCTTTTGATCTGACACTTATTTCGGGTACCTCAGAGCAAAGCATCGACTTTCATTGCCATTTTAACAATATTGGAGGCGGGGTATGAGCACAGTACTCACAGCACCTATAATTTAAATATATATTAGTTTTTGATTTCTACTTTTTTCTATTTCTACTATTTTCTAATAATCCTCTTGTAAACTTCTTTATGGTTTATATCTATAGTATTTGAGATACAATCACAAATGTTAATTTAAAGACATTTATTTGAAGCCTTAAATCTCAGGAATTTTTTTTTAATTATTTCTTTATTTAAATTAGAAATCACTCACATATATATAAGCAATAAATAATGCATGATGGAATAATATAACGTTATTTCAACTATATTGATCGGTATATCCTTGTTCAATGTGCATAAAATATAAGTTTAGGTAATTACCCTGTTTTCACGAAATCAGACAATTCATAATTTCACAAAGAGAAACTGTAAGTTCTAAAAATAAATATCATTACTTGTTAACCTTTTCAGATTGTTTGTCCTTGAGAAAATGTATTGAGCTATTTTAAAACACGTTTTTTTTTCCATAAACAATTCTTTGACTTCAGTTTTCTTTGTAACTTCAGCGTAAATAATTCAAATGTATATCATGAATCATGTACGACACCCTTTACCCCTGCCTGGCAGCGGGAGGTTATAAAGGTTAAAACAAGAACAGTTCTAAATTCAGAGTCTTGCTTTAACGTACAGTAAAAACTAAATTTGAGATAATGCATATAATGGTTTTTAGCCGCTGATATTTTGCCACTTCCTTTCATTTAGTGAAAGAGAAACCCATTTTTTAAAATATAGGTGAAAAGAAAACATATATATTGTATCAAAGGTAACATTAAAGGGGGCAGTGTCTGTTTCTATTTTAATTTCCAAAAGTGATAATTTTTGTTCTAAGTTTCAATGTATACATAAACATTGGACAGATTTGTTATACAAAATCAAAATATTAAGCTTGCCAAATCAAAACTTTTAAAGAGCAATTTTAGAAACATCTTTCACTTATTGAAAATAATTTATACATTTTTAGAACAAACCCATATATCTAAGACTGAATCTAATTATAAAATTCATGCATATTAGATGAAAAAAATATTTACAAGGGCTTGACATATAAAAAAATTTTCTTTTCAGGATATGATCTAGAGCACTACACCCTCGTCAATTCTAGAATCAAGTCGATTTTGTTCCGTCTTTCAGATAAAGAGGGATAATCTTGTCTTGAATTCCCAAGAGGAGAGTCATTAAAAACTTGGAAGAAAATAATCAACTTTCTACGATTAAAAAGAATATTTTCGCCATAAATAACACTGGGTGTTTCTCCTATCACTTACTTGATGAACTGAATAAATAAAAAATACATAAAGGAGCTGTATATACCAGTATAAATACATGTAGGTATGTCTTAATTTGACAATCAGAGTAAAATACATGTGTATTGTAGAAGGAGGATAGGTTTTCATCTGGCTTAACTCGCACCATTGGAAATTCTAACAGAGTGTAGGACGACTTTTACAATGAGGAGTCCAAACTTGAAAAAAAATATTAGGCTTACTTGTACATAGAAACAGATAGAGTTAATAAAGTACGTTCAGAAAATCAGTTACATGATATAATGTTCTTTGTGATATCCAAAAATATTTGCAAAGTGTCATAAGATTAGACTTTGGTTGTTATTGATTTGGAAAAAAAGTTTTTGATATCAAATTTTCTAAAAGTTCTTTAGAGTTTTTTTTTCAGTATCTAAGTTTAATAAAACAAAACTTCTCATATATTATTACACAGAACTTCTGATGTTTCCTTCACTGCTGATTGTAATTTAATGAGGAATAAAAGAAGTCTCGTAGAACAATTATTATTATATCCCACTATATTCTACAATGTTTAAGCTCTGGAACCCAGTATAGTGTAGGACATCTAAATTCATTATAACTGTTGATTATTCTGAAAATGATATGATTTTGAAACCTCTTAGAAATTAAGCTATTTATTTTTGGTTGTTTGCATATTTTATGTCTTCGAAGTTATCTAATAAAGTCAGCTAGCAATCACCAATGCATCAAAAAATCTTATGTTGATTTGTATTTTAATAAGGATTAAATAAAGTCTTGCTAAAACATCATTTACAATTTCTAATAGTATAAGTAAGCTACAAAGGCAAGAATCATTATTTTGAATTAATAAGTGGTACTATTCTTATTAATTATTGGATGTTTTCAACATATGCCACAAGAGATGATTTCAGCCTTTCCATTGTCATTTCTAATTTGTGAAGCACAGTATGTTCGATATCATTTGCATATTTGCTTAACATCCCCCAAAAGCATGCTCTGGGTGCGCTCAATGTTAATTATTTTTTTTATTCGTGTAAGCCTTTAATATTTCTCTATTATAATTACACGGGTTGGTCAGTCTCTAAGAATCTTTCTATTGAATCTTACTGAATAATAAATGGTTTATACATAATATGACCATGTTATAAACTTTCTAATAACACAAAAAAGAATGTAAAGTAATATAATTTTATTGACAATTTAAATTCACAACAAATATTACAATACCAAATATATAAGTATGACGGGGTAAAACAAAAGTTGACAATTACCATAAACTAAAATCGAGAAAGATAGTACAATTGTAACACTTTAACTTATAAATAAGCCTAAACAATCCTACACCTGCATTTGTTCAGCACTAGTGAAACAATATTTATTTTATTATATACTAGGTTTTAAACATTTCAATAGTTTCAGAAACCTTGTATACATGTACAGATATTTTCAAAATTTGATTGAATTTTTTCTTGACAAAGTGTTGTATCGAGAGAGAGAGAGAGAGAGAGAGAGAGAGAGAGAGAGAGAGAGAGAGAGAGAGAGAGAGAGAGAGAGAGAGAGAGAGAGATTTTTCCTTTTTTTAACAATAACCAATAAAGAGGTGTTAGATGTGAATCGAAAGATCTACGCCCGCAAGTTAAAACATATTGCCATTAATAAAAATATAATAAATTTACATAAAATGAGTAAATATTAACAATATTAACACAACACAAAATTTTATCCAGGAAGTCATCAAATAAATACAACACCCGGTAAAGAGCAAAGTAATATCATTCATATAAGATTCGAATCACAAAACATGGAGCATTTGAAACTTTAAATGATGACATCTTTAGGTGCCTCGTTGTAAAGATTATAGATGAGATCATGAGGGTCTGATATGGACAAGAATCTCTTATAGGTTCATTTGTGATACATTGACCAGCTGTACAAAAAATAATATAAAAAAACCTTTAAACAAATTTGGGATATTACTTGACTCTGATATCAGGCAATCTTTAAAATAATTTAATGTTTGCTTGCCATCTCACTCAGGGGAAAATTATTGGGACTGTTGGTAGGTGGGAAAATATTTCCCCAGGAAATTTCAACATAGGGTGAATTCACCATGCATCGGACACCATTGTACGTCAACAAGTTCTAGCGATATCGCTACCGACGGAAAATTATCAAAATGGAGCTTAACACTTAGAATGTAATTAAAATATAAATTTGGTACACAATTATATGCCTTTTATTGAGAAAATATCACCAAAAATCAATTTTTTTGTAAATAACTCAAAATTCACCATGGATCGGACATTATTCACCATGCATCGGACAAACGGTATTTCGACCGAAAAAATATCATACCTTTATCACAATGCTTTAGAATCCTTTATATGGATATACTTTTATATTTTATCTAAGAAATAACCCTCAACTTAATTTTAATTGATGATATCGTTGCACAAATGAAGAACGATTCAAGATACCTCACCTTGCCTTAGAAATGCTTTAAAATGCTTGTAATGCTGTAATTCGCGCCTTTTTCTCATGGGTTAAGATAGTCTGGTTTGGAGAAATAAATTGAGTCAGATTCTAGACGTCATATGTGATCACTTGTATTTTGACTGAAAATTTTTATTTTCTATTTCCACAAAAAACATCTTTCAGTTGGGTTCTTTATGAAAATGGTAGTGATTACCTTTGCTGCGGAAAGTGTCCGATGCATGGTTAATTTGTGTCCGATGTACGGAAAAATAAACATACTAGTAAAAAACCAACTTCAAAAAGAATTATACAAACATTGAAGTGAAATTTCTCTAAAATTTATGTAAAATTACCAAATTGATAAAACTTAAGATAAATCCATAGTTTTGCAAACATCAACATGCATTTTATTATTTAACATTACGAAATTCTTTAAGAATAATATCAAGTGTAGATAATCAAATGCGTGTTGTGATTTATATTTAAGTTAATCAAATGTAAACACATTTTAATACGGTCTTTGAAAATTAAATAAACTTATAAATATATGTAATTTTTTTCAGCAAGATACTTTTTTTCATTTTTCATCAATGTAATTTTAAATGTGTAATTTTTGAAGAGCTCTGAAGTTTTCTTAAAATCGTTTTTGTTTAGTTTTCATTTGGAGGTGGCTGTATTAAGATAGATAATTATCAGAAGATTCAGTTTTGGTTCTCGTCAATTCTGTAACTACTTCCGTTTTAGATTTGCAAAGAAGAAAGAATCGACTGAACGATAAAAAGTATATAAAGGGATTTATAGCGTAGTTTGCAAGCATTGCGATTGTTCCTATTTGAAAGAGAATATGTGTTAACCCATCATTTGAATCCAGAACTTTGTACTCTATCAATAGTACTAATATATCGTTAATCAAGAAGGGCAACTGTCCAAAAATGTAGGTTAAGCAAATGAGATATACTTTGATTGTAAGTTCTGCAAAATGGCGTTTTTCAATGGCTCTCATAGATATTCTCGGGAGTTTTCTCAATTTAAACAATTTGTAGCAATGCAAGTAAAGCAACAAACCAAGAATGATCAAAATCAGCGGCACAGCAATGAAAGCGAAATAGTACACGACATAAAGGTAATCCGGACAAACTTTTATAAAAGATAAAGTAACTGCGTAAGAAATTGACATTAAGCTCATAACCAAAAGTAAAATCAGGGATATTTTAACCGCACGGGAGCTTGTATGAGAAGAATGGTAGTGAAGAGGATTAGTAATCAGAGAGTACCTCTCGTACGCCAAAAGAACTAGGTTACAACCCGTCCACATGAACGGGGTGTAATGCGCCCAGAAAAACAAAATGCATAGAGGAACGTTGAAATATAAATTGTACATAAGTGGAAATAGCAAGAACATACCCAAATAGACAGCGGCACTAGTCAAAAAGTCACTCACGGCCAGCAACAGGATACACATGTATGTTACGTCTTTCTGCTTGCGTCTATATAGTATGTTGATGAAGGTAGCAGTATTTCCTGTCAAGGAAATCAAAGTCAAAATGGTACATACACGAACTAGCCAACAGGAAGTGAAGTCAGTGATTGAACAGAAGGTGACAATCACCGGAGTTGTGGAGTTTGAAAAGTCCGGCAGCTGAGATGTTAAGTTTGAAAAGTCCGGCAGCTGAGATGTTAAGTTTGAAAAGTCCGGCAGCTGAGTTGTTGAATTTGAAAAATCCGGCAGCTGAGTTGTTGAATTTGAAAAATCCGGCAGCTGAGATATGAAGTTTGAAAAGTCCGGCAGCTGAGATGGGAAGTTTGAAAAGTCCGGCAACTGAGATGTAAAGTTTGAAAAGTCCGGCAACTGAGTTGTGGAGCTTGAAAAGTCTTGCAGCTGGGATGAGGAGTTCTCCATGATGCCCTGTATATAAAGCGTAACGGTTCTCTGTTGCATCAGTGTTACAGGCAATGTTCTCTAAAATGGAGGGTACAAATTTAAAAAAAAATGAAAAGAAACTATCTAACAAATATCAACTCGAAACATGTAGACATGTTTTAGAGAGAGAGAGAGAGAGAGAGAGAGAGAGAGAGAGAGAGAGAGAGAGAGAGAGAGAGAGAGAGAGAGAGAGAGAGAGAGAGAGAGTTTCAGCATTGATGTAAATAGACCAAAATCGTTTACCTTAGAGTCCGAGATAGATACTTTCTCCTACTGTGCTTTCGATTTACAAAGCTTGTGGATAATTCAGTAACCAATTTCAAACTGAAAAAGTAATTTCTATAGAATTACTTATACTTCTTAGATGACTTTTCTTACATTATGATGTTTATTTCACTAACTAAAAGCAGTCACTCCCAAATAAGATGATTGGATAAATTCACTCAAATATTTTTTTTTTTTCAATTTCAAAAGTGGTTACTGTAATTTATATGTTTAATGAAATTGAAATTCTAGAGGCATTGCTTTCAGCGGTAAAAAATTAAACAAGTATTATTTTCAGGAACATTAATACACACAAGAGGCAAAAAAATTTTTTTTTCCCTTCCGTTAGACAAAACGGTCTCATGCGTCCTCCAGGGTACGGAGAGGATAACATAACATAACAACATAACGTTAGACAAAACGTAGGCCTAGGAAAGAAAATGTAGAAAACGTTAGGTATTATGAATATACCATCTAAAGATTGATTTAAAAATGCATTTTTTGTTTTCTAATACCTGTTTATACTTTAAATCTCACTATTGTTTATGACCATATCTGACATCAAAATCTAAGCAACTGGGTCACAAAAAGACAGCAATGAGACGATATAAAACCATGGAAGCTAAAGGAAATGTATTTAAGAAAAAATAAAGGTCAACGTTTTGGACATGCATATGGAAATTATCAATTTAGAAAAAAAGTATTTTAAGGAAAATTTTATATTTTGTTTATGCATATTGAATTTATTTTACAAGTTCAAGATGATTTTAAATGAGTAAGATTCTTGGTATTTTTTTGTCTTTTTGTTTATCAAAATAAGTTTCAAAGTAATGGATTAAAAAATCAGGTAGAATTAGGTAGAATTTTGAACAGGCTAGAAAGTTTACAATCACATGACTCTTTTAACCCTACATACATTTATATTCTGTTATACGTTTGAAAGTCCACTAAGCTCGTTTTTGTAGAGAAGGTAAAAAAAATTGCATGATAAAGCGAAAGTTTCGCCCTAAAACGTGAAAGTTACGCGTCATATCCCGAAAATATTTTTTTTTTACCTACAAAACTGAGCTAAATCGGCTTTTTTATACGTGTACAATAAACCAGGTGAAACTTTTATTGGTTTCTTGATTGCATTACAAGTCACTTAAAATCACGAACTATTCCAACCATTCTCATAGTCATCTCGTTTAATGTCATGCAATATAGGTATTTATTGACCTTTCTCATCCATAATATGTAAAACATTCAAATATGAAAAAGATGTGGCAGTGTTTCCGGTGTCTTATATTTTACGTTCAAATCACATGTCAATTTTGTCTTAATATTTAAAGAAGAAATACATAAACACGAATAAAGTAGATTTCCTATGTGTGTAATTCATAAATGTGAAGTTGAGAAAGAATTATACCAGTTTTTAAAATGAAAAAGATCATGGAAAGGAAACACAAACAAATTTTTGGATAAAACATATTTTAAATTCGTTGTATTGTTTTGATCAAAATATTTTTAAAATGATATACTAGGAAGTTGTATAATCAATCATTTGAAACGGAGGAAATGTGTACTTTAATTTGATATTCAATTGTAATCTAGCTTATAACAATTAAAAAAAATATTTAAAAAATATCCATTAATGGAAGAGCATTAATTTTTTGTTCATGAAGTAAATCTTAATATAATGATATACTAAACCATTGTTCATGTTGAAAAGCAAAATCATCACAAACTACCAAAATAAAGTCATGACATCCACACAAATACCTTCTTTATTTTACTTCAAACTGTCATTCCAGCACAAGAATTCTAAATTTAGAACTAAATCGCTCAACCTCTTCTCATTTAAGAACTTAGAGAAAGCTTGATGATAGAGTTGTCTATCTTATCACAAGGTGTATTACATGTTTTATCATTTTCAATTTTACAATTTGCACCAAAAAATCCACCCAGTTAAGGGTGAAGCAAAGGTCAAAAGATTTTAAATAGTTTTTGATGCTATGTCAAGTTATGCACTTAGATGAGATGTAATCATTGATAAAATCAAACGACACAAGATAAATAAAATAAATACTATCAAAAAATTAATAATTCAAATGAATAAAATCAATACAAATAAAAAATTTGTATTCATGATCAATAACATAAAGATCGAATAAAAATCATTATATCAACATAATAATACTGTTTTTATACACAATACAAAGATGTTCATTATTTAACCATATACAGTGAAGATTTTTATTGGGAGATAACTTTAATACATCAATTATGTTTGTCTCGTAAAGACGCAGTACATAACCAAAAAGGGTGACGCTGTTTTACTCATGTGGTTATTATGTACATGAATCCCATAGGGTAACATGAAGATAGGTCCATAATAAGGGGATCGTAAGAACTAGGATTCCAAGTCGCAGTAGGTTCTGGCTCGAAAATTAATTTCTCAATGCTTTATGACCGTAAGTGTGGAGGACAGCTCTAAATTTGAAACTCTCCACCTGCAAATGGTGGTCTCTCAATATGTGTGAAAAATTTGGGACGATAAACAATCAATCAAACAAGCCATATAACATACATGTACATAATCATGTATATAGGAAACTATTTAGACTTTGGTGCAGAAAATGGTAAACTATCACTCGACAATGCTCAACGAACATTTAAAATTAAACTTTTTTTCAATATATATATGGTTATATTTATTTATATTTTATTATTCTAAGAAATTTCAAGAAGCTTTTAGAAAACTCGAAATCACAACATTTTACTAAAACCAAAAACATAAAAAATACGACATTTCAACGATTTATATAAACCTACTGTCCGCAATAGATAAAAGTTTAGGCTTTTTGACATCATTGAAAACTGTTAAGTTTTGAATAAAAATGAAACATAATCTTACGTCCATTGTCGCAGGTCATTTGCAAAATCACTTTTTCTTTTTCAAAAAAGCTAAGTCTCGTTTGTTCTCACAAGTTGATACTGAAAAGATGCAATAGATAGACAATATCTATACAGTTTTAGGAGACCAGAACTTTCAACAATCTGCCTGAATACCCATGGGTAACAATTGCGTACCTTTATTAGCAGACATTTTTAAATTCATTTTTAGCAGAAATTATAAAAATCTTGTACATGAAAAGCAGAAGAAAACATTTGCTCTAGCCTACTATTTGATATTTTTGTTTAATATTTAATTACATCGTCGAGGTACAATAAGCAACAAATACTTGCCGTATATGTATATCGGGTATACTCAATGTATCCCACTGAGCTTGATACCATAAAGTCGTACACATTTGTTTCATTTTTGGATATTTTACAAGAAACAGACATTTATATAGTACCTTTGCAACAAACTTTTATGGTTAACTTGATTTTTAATAATCGTTTTCCCTGACTTGTGTAGCAATATATAATAATAACCTGCATATGGGGCGTATATCTCTCATTTGATTCGATATGCAAGAGCATTCTCAACAAACATACAAACAGTTTTTAAAACGAGAAAAGCTCTTGCCAATCACGTTAATGAAAGAGGAATATCGAAACCACATTTAAAGTCATTCTTTTGCAAATTCTATTATCTTATCAGAAAACTGAATCTATTATTACGTAAAATGTTGACAGCACCTGATCCCATCTCTGATGGGTTCCGTGTTGATCTAAAGGGGCTGGGAGGTTGTGGCCATTTTTAGACTATTTTTGTCTCCTTTAGAAGAAGAGCTCCATATATAGATATACAAAAATAATCAAATTTTAATTTAAAATGTTTGAAATTTTTCTTTGCCAAATGATAGTTGACAGCTTAAGATATCATATCTAAAAAAAGTTACATCTGGTGGTTAATTTGTTGACCCCTAGCCTCCTTAAATAAGCTAACCTCAGAAGGTTAGAGGGTTTTGTGGATTTAAACTGCTTTATAAAGTAGCCGGCGTCCTGTAAGAAGAAAAAATTCCAAACTACCAAAGTGATGTGCGATAGAAATCCAATGATGAAAATGAAAAACAGTTTTTTAAATCTACATTTACATGTATTTAAGAAATACAAAAAATTAACTGTTTTTCATCCGAATTGAAATTCATTTCATAGTTTGCTAAATATAATCCCCAAAATTGCGAAGTTTCTTTAGTATCCTAATTAAGATGTATTAATTGATTTATATAAATGAACAATAATATTATTCCACAAAACAGTTTGAAGATCTTTATTTAAAAGACGCATCATGTATACAGGTATTTATCAAACACAACAAAGGCTAAATCTTAATAAACAATAAATATTTTATTTACAAAAACTGCTATTCAGAACTACATGTTTATAAGAAGTAGACAAACTACGTTACAACATTCATATTAAAAAAATTACTGAAGTAAAATCAGTATGCACAGCACATTTTTTTAATACAAATTTACAAGAACAGATAAAATCAAGCTTAAGCAGTAATATGTAATTCATAAAGTAGATAGTTTAATAATAACGAAATAAATTTCTTACAACTTCATTGCTTCTGTAATGGGTGTTTCTATTTTGCTCATTTTTAAGAGATAAGCTGTTTGAAAAGTCCTAAGACCCACAAAAAGAAGCCAATCGTGCAAATGAAAGGAAGTAGATAAAGGGATTGAAAGCATAGTTTGCCAGCATTGTAACTGTTCCAATCTGATAAAGGATATTCATCAATTTCTGATAGGAATCCAGAACTTGATACTCCACTAACACTA